AGGGTGGGGCTAGCCTCTACGCCGGGGGGGTCGACCCAGGGGTACTTCGTCAAGTTGCGTCTATTGCCACAAAGAGGGTATGGGCCGGGGGAGCTACTGACATAAAGACGGCATTTCTAAACGCAGAGTTGCTGGACAGACATCAGCCCCGTGTTAAGCCGCCTCCGTTGTCCCAAGAGATCCCTGACGAAGTGATCGTGCTGAAGGTGCCGGGAATTGTGTCTCGACGTGGCCACCTTAGTCGGCAACAGTTCATGCTGGTCCAGAGAGCAGTCTATGGCATAGACCAGTCTCCTATACCAGGAGGACACTTTGAACTTACGGACTTATAACCCACTTATAAGTGACTTAGGTTGGAGTATTTATAAGTGAGTTATAAGTAACTTATACGTAACTTATAAGTAGACCTAAGTCCTACAGGTTTTCACAAAATTGTATTTTGTACGATCGCCGTCCGTTTGCCAGGAATGGTGATTTTCGCATCCCATTTTCGCAACCGCCAACTGGACACTCTCGCACGTTCGACGCAGACAGCGTAGCCCGTGCTGGCGGCGTTGGGAGACTGCCTTGCTCAAGCGGCAATTGTGGCACTGCAAGGTTTCCACCGTCTGCTCGGCTTGGGTTCTGGTAGCTGGGTTTGGGGTTGAGGGTATAGGGATCCAAAGCAGGGAGCCGGGCGTGAAAAACCTGGCCCTACATGTGTAGCCCCAGCAGAACACATTGTTTTGGCCGCGCGGACATGCTCTGTTAGGCAAAGGCCTATACTGGGGCCGAGGAGGCCGCGGACATCCGCGGACATCCGCGGACACCCGCGGACATCCCGCGGACATAGCCCGGGAGCTCTCCGCAACTCACTGCTCCGCAAGCACGTCGGCGAGAAAAGCGAGGATCTCGCAATTGGCAGCGCTGTCCGGTATTTTATCAGGGTGGCAAAAGGATGCTGCGGAACGTAGAGCAGGATGTTAGTGAGTTTTTTGCGTGGCCCGGCGCGTGGAAACATGATGCACTGGTGCGGCTGCCATAGCGCGGCTACAAGTGCGAAAACGGACAAAACCTTGAGGCTGCAATGGCAAGTCGAGCTACAAGGAAAGCCGATTTATCACAACAAGATGACACGAAAAGCAACAACAAAGACAACAAAAAAAAGGTGGTTCGTAAGTAGTTATAAGTCCACATAAGTCCGCATAAGTCCGACAGGCCAAGTAATTATAAGTGACTTATAAACATTTATAAGTTCAACAAAAATCGACATACTTATAACTCACTTATAACTCAGTTACAGGATTTATAACTAAGTTATAACCAAGTTATAAACAACTTATATCCAAAGCGCCCTCCTGGATAGAGACTGGGGGATCACCAGGGACGTAGAGATAGCTAGTACGGTATTGCGTGTGCAGGGGACTGCCTGTAAGTTTGAGCAGAGCCGGTGTGATTCAAACTTGTGGTTCTTACGCCCGCTGCCCGAGGCAGGCAAGGAGCATGAGTGGAGAGAGCCGCGAGCGTGTTTGCTGGTTTATGTCGATGACGTTTTGGCGTTTGCGAAAAAGGGGCTTCTAGAACAAGTGCTTAACATGATCACGTCAAAATGGAAATGCGGGAAGGTTGAATACATCCCCGAAACGCTCACCGACCCTCCGCTGAAGTTTTTTGGGTTTGAGCTGAGATGGAGCGGGCGCGACCTGCTGTTGAGTCAATCAGACTATATTCGAGATATGGCAAGTAGATATCCGGAAGCCCCGCGTGTGTTTACCCCAGCTAGCCCCGGTGGAATAGCAGTTGAAGAGACGTCAGAGCATGCTGCTGAAGACGTTGTAGCATGTCAGGCGGCGCTAGGGGAAGCACTTTGGGTGGCGTACCGCACGCGACCAGATGCCATCTTTACAGTGTCTAGATTGGCCCAGCTCATCACGAAAAATCCTGCAAGGGTGAAAGTGTATGCATTGCATCTAGTGGGATATCTTGTCACGACCCAAAACCTTTGTCTCCGATACAAGGCAGAGCACGCCAGGCAGGGTGAGCCGGAGGCGACTACAACAGTAGATTCAAAAGGGGTGATTGAAGCCATGACTGATAGCTCATTCGCACCCGGGTGCGAACGATCCCAGGAAGCGGTGTATGTGTATACAGAAGGTAGCCTTACTGGGTGGATCACTGCCAGGCAGCCGTTTACGGCAGCTAGCACTGCTGAGGCGGAGTTGCTCAGCACGATGTCGGGGTTCTGCTTTGGCCGGGCCCATTCTTTGGGAGTTCTTGGGCGCTGAGCCACAGCTAACAGTGGTTAACGACAACATGGCGAGCATCGCAATCGTAAATGGGGACTCCTACAACTGGAGGTCCAGGCACCTCCGCATTCGGGCACATGTCCTTCGCGAGCAGCTGGAGCGCTGACTGTGGTGCATATAGAGGGCGCAAAGAATGTTTCAGATGCTGGAACTAAATGCTTACCCCTCCCTAGACTGTCATTGCTTTGGACAGGAATGGGTCTCTTAGAGAGGCCTCGGCCGGAGGTTGAAGCACCTAAGGTCAAGGCTCTGATGGAAGTGTCTGCTAATCAGATTCGGGCGGCAGTCTTGGCGGCAGCTATTGCTGCAGCAGACGCTCAGGAACCTGAGCCTATCTCCGGGCACGCTGGGACTTGGGAGTTGTGTGTGTTGCTTTTCCTAGTTGTGTGCGCGACTATCTGTATGTGGGAAGCCGTAAAGGGATGTGGGCGTTTGTTTGGGCGTGTTCTTGAGAGACGAGGGGCAGAGAGCAGAGTCACTGTTGAGCCTGATGGAGAGCAGAGCCCGTCAGAGAGGAGTGAGCCGGATGCCGAGGACGAACATGTTGAGCGCAGTGAGCGAGAGGGTGTCGTTGTCAGGGACCCTGGGGACCAGGATGATCATGATGCTCGTAGAGGGATATGGGCCGCTGACGAAGGTGATGAGACGCAGCAACTCGGGGAAGTGATTGCTCAGTTCCAGTATGTCGATGATGTGGCTGTGCTTGCGCGGCGGGCCGCGGGTTGAGAGAGAGGAGGGAGAGAGAGAGCAGGGTTTGAGACGAAGACAAGGACAGAGGGTATGTGTCGAAGAACCTGACGGGGAGCCGCAGTGCAGCATCATGCCGTCGGCGTTCCGCCTAGGCCTATGGGTGGGGTTCACAACGACAACGGCCCTCAAGGCATTCCAATTGAGGTTGCGCATGCTATCCACCGTGAGGCAGACGCCTTATTCCGGGTAGGGGCTGTGCGGCTGGTAGACCTTGATCAGTACCCTTTTTGGTTGAGAGATGATTGGCCACCAGCTCCTAATCAGCTCACGCTGGAGTTCCTTCAGCCATCCACCAGCTGCCTCCCAACGAGTACTACAGGCGAGATGAATGGAGCACCCCAGGCAATCGTCCTGGAGTTCTGATTCGTTGGCATTGCCAGCCTAGAATCAGAATGTTCTCACCGCGTGGCACCCGAACTCCGATTGAGTTGGGGCAGCTGAGCGGGGCCAGACGTACTTTGGCAGTCTATCGTGATGGCACCCAAGAGATCATTGATGATGATTGGACCGAGGGCAGAGATGGCAGAACGTTCCTGAGGATGCAGTTTCAGGGAAGGACTGAGCTGTTCTACCGCTGATTGGCTGGAATCCAGCCAGGGGGAGAGCGTGATTTCCCAGGTGCGGCGCCTACAGAGCCTTCAGCCCCAAGGCACGGCCGGCAGGCCGTGTCAGGCATGAAAGTTGGGGGTGTTTGGGGGGGAACCTTAAGCTCTTCGAGCTTGCATCGCCCAACTTTGCCCTCTCTTACAGACGATGCCGATACCATTGCTGCTCGAATGTGATTTGCATGGCCAAGCTCAGCATGGCTCACTGCAGATGATACAGATACGCATCGAGTAGTAGGTTTTTGAGAATCGCGTTGTACAGATTGGCGATACAGAAGAGACAGTCAGACAGACCAGCAGGCATCATTTGTTCTTCTTGTGTTGCTGTGCTGTGCTTAAAAGCTGTGTCTGCGCACCCCGCGAACTCGCGTAGGGTTTAGGCAACTTTTCTGTGCACCCTAAAATGTAAACCCTGCGAGGCGTGGGGGGTTTGAAGTGTTTAGGGGTTTGGTAGATAAAGGCCCCCAAGGTAGCACGTACTCATCTTGATGGCAAGAGATTGCCACAAGTCCGAGTCAAAGATGCTCTGATTCTGAAGGAGCGTGAGAAGGAGCTCCATCCGGACTTCTAGCAAGAAAAAGGTTTGGGGTTTAGGGTTTAGGGTTTAGGGTTTAGGGTTTAGGGTTTAGGGACTGCTGGAGGCAACGCCACTCGAAAATCTGAAAAACTGCGAGTACCGAAGGACTTTCGAGCCAAGGCATGCACCTTGTCTATAAATCGCTACAGTCACAAGGCGATCCACGTCTGGGATGGTGTGTCCAGAGATCTCAAGTTCCAGCGGAATAAAACTGCTCAACCCTAAACCCTAAACCCTAAACCCTAAACCCTAAACCCTAAACCCTAAACCCTAAACCCTAAACCCTAAACCCTAAACCCTAAACTGCTCAAGCACTTGTTTGCTTGCATGGTGAAAAGCGAATGACTTTTCTGGGAAGCCAAGGAGCAAAGAGTTGCAAATGCAAGCTTTGCACTTGTAAATATTATGAATATACATATACACACATATATACATATATACACATAGCTGTATATGTATATTCTTGTTTTACCACTATCTATTTATATTTAGTTCTGCATTTGTATTTACATTGCTTGCTTATCCGTCTGTTTTTTATTGTTGTTGTTCGGATGTGCGCCACCAGAAGGAGTCCTGGCATTGCCCCATGAATGACTATAAACGTGCAGTGGGGCATGATGTGTTCCGGTTGCGAAAGCCCAAACCCTAGACCCTAAACCGCAAACTTTACGACAAAGCTCGGGTTGGGGCTTGTAGGGTTTTAAGGGCTCTGAGCTTAGGGTTAGGGTGTAGGGTGTATGATTTTGGTTCGGGATGTCAGCGTCCTTCTGAGCGATTCGCCAGGAGCTGGTCTACTGGGCCCTGCGCAGTGACTTCCATGGCCAGCCGCGGGCAAAGACCTGCTCCAGGAAAGGCCGACCAGATGATTTTTTTTCGTGTAGGATCACCAAACATCTTACAAGGGGTTTTATTGCAATAACCTCCAAAAAGGTGGGTTTGGGGTGGTGGTGGTGGTGGTGGGGGTGTCGTGGTGGTTCTTTGTAGGGTCTAAAATCGGCTTTAGGGTCCCAACGGCTTGAAACCACATCCCGTAGATCCCTGGCACCAAAGCCCCAAGCCCTAAAATCATGAAGTGTAAGGCTTCACCAAAGGCCCCAAAGCCTTCAAGCTTTAAGACCCTAAACTTCACTGTAAGCCATGAAGTCCCCAAGGTTTAGGGACCCTAAATAAACTGGAGGGGCCCTTAGACCCTTAACCTGAAGGCCACCACCCCCACAGCCCTTATCCTCACACCCCAAACTTGCTATGCTGGAAATCAGGGTTAGTGTTTCAGGGTCCCTACCTCCCTTTAACACCATGAAAAGCCGTAACATCCAAACCCTCAACCCCAAAACTTCCACCTTCACCGCACCTCTCGCACCCCACCCCCCCGAGCTCCCGTAAACTCTAGACCCTCTGAACCCTTAACCCCCGGACCCTGAACCCGCAGCCGAGCCCCAAAGCCCAAAATTTACACCCTAAGCCCGATTTTAGGAACTAAGAGTTCGGGATTAGGGAGGATTTTGGGGTTTGGCGTTTAGGTCAACATAATTCCTTCAAGCCCTGCCCATCTCTGCCCTAAACTAAACCCTGAATTAGGGTTTAGGGTTTAGGGTTTAGGGACCTTGAACAAAACCCTGAACCCATGTTCTCAAAGGAGGGATAGGTAACCTAGCAGTCCCGAATACTCCCGACAATAACCCCTGAGGAGGGCTGAGAAGATAAACTTCGAGAAGCGTGCGTCCGCGACTGCGCCGCTCGACACAGGGCGCCATCTTGCTTACGTAAATCTTATGAGTTTAGGGGTAAGGGGTGTTCAGCTCAGAACCTGAGTTTCCTCAGGTCCAAAACCCTGGAAGCCTTCATTAATCTCAGAGACTACGGACCCTAAAGCCTAAGCCCTCAATGCTTCTGTTTGCTTTCGTGTTACCTCCTATACGGATGGAGCTGCTTTTGACTCCCGGGGCCTCCTGTCAAAGGCAAAATGGTACGAATCCCCCCTACAAGGAACTCCATTGTACTCTCATTCATGAACAAAACCAACCCTAAACCCTAAACGCTAATATAGAGCCCTTACATCTCGTCCCCAACGTTTTTGGCAAAGGCTGCCATGGCAGGTTCCTGAATTCACTCCTTAAACCCCTACGCAGCGAAAGCGCCTGTAACAAAAGGCTCAAGTTGAGGTTTGTAGGTTTTATAGGGTTTAGGGTTTAGGGTTTAGGGGTTGGGAGTTGAGGGTTTAGGGGATGTATTGGGCCCGACGTTCTCAACAAAGTCCTGCTTTAGTTGCTTGACTCTGTGGTTCTTTTCTTGGGTGTGTACGTTGCCACGAAGATTTTTACCCTGAATTCTCGACCCCTGCACCCTCTAGACACCCCTGAAGCCCAGAACCCTTCCCCGGCGCCCCTCTACGCACGATGAGGCCCTTGATGCCCACCATTCCGGGCCCTAAACCCTAAACCCTAAACCCTAAACCCTAAAACCTAAACCCTATATAAACCCTAAACCCTACACCCTAAACCCTAAACCGTGATGAATTAGAGTTTTATTGGGGGCTCGATGGCCCGTAGGGCCCCAAAACTCTTTCGGCTGCAGGGTCAGGGGAGGGAACGCTTCGGTGCCAACGTCCAAGGCTTGGTCGTTGAAATTCTGAGTGTAGGTTTGAGGGTTCCCGGGTTTAGGGCTTTGAGAAATCTGCAACGCTAAGCCTCAAAGCCTTAAACCCCCAAGTGAGCCGCTATAGCACTCGAAGTGGGCCACAAAGGAAGCCCGGAAAGAACGTACGTGTTAACAAAAGTACATACGAAATGGGCCAGAAGTGCACCGTAAACCCGGAACCCTAAGCCCTAAACCCTAAAACCCCAAACCCCAAACCTTAAGCCACCATGACATACCATGACTATCACCATACCCGGACGCTTGAGGCCACAGACCTTCGTGGAAAAGAAGCTAGGCGCGGAGTTCAGGGTTTAGGGGTTTGCTTGGCAACTTAAGGTGATGGGCCTGGGTTTAGGGTTTAGGTCTTTGGGCTTTGAGGTATGGGTCATTGGGCAAATCGACAGCAGAGTCCACAGGATGTTTTTGGCCATTCGGCTCTAAAACGAATAGACGAAGGGGGGCTTCAGAAATCGAATATACACTAAACCTTAAGCCCTATTGAGAAGTGCCCTACACCCTAAACCCTAAACCCCAAAAAACCCACCCTAAAAGACTCAGCTGGGCTCTGGGTGTGGAGTTGTTTACGGTTTAGGGCTTAATTAGGGTATATTGTACCCCGAATTTAGTTTACCCCAACATAGCATAATCCTAGGACCCCCCCCCCCCCCCCCCCCGCCCCCCCCCCCCCCCCCCCCCCCCCCCCCCCCCCCCCGCTCCCCCCCCCTCCCTCCCCCCCCCCCCGCTCCCCCCCAAAAAAAATCAAAAAAAACTATCCAAAAGGCATTGAGCGCACCAATTCCTTGCCCGTGACCTTTCATCTAAAGACCCTCAGCGAGGTTTTATGGTCCTTCGGAGAGGCAAGCAACCCAAATACAATCGGAGGAGCCTCTTATGAAAACTCACGGTGTGGCCTGCACCCCCTAAACCTTCTAATCACATAAACCCCTAAACCCTAAGCACCCTAAACGCCCTAAGCCCCTTGAACCCTACACGCAGAAATCCCTAAACCCTAAAACGCCCTAAGCCCAAATCCTTCTTTTTCACTATCCTTATACCCTAAACCTACTCCACCCTTAACCCCCAAACTCGACACGCTTGAAGCCCTCAACTCTAGACACTTAGAACCTCAAATCCTTAAACCCCGAAACCCCTAAACTCCAGCTTAGGGTTTACTTTGGGGTTTCAGATTTCGGGTTTAGGGTTTAGGGTATAGGGTCTTATAGACCCCGAAAGCCTCTCGACGGAAGGCGATTGTGCTGAGCTTGTCAGTACCTGGACTTGGTCCCTGCTGCCCCTTGGCCTTATGGCGTGTGGGCACGTTTGGGGTTTAGGGTTTAGGGTTTAGGGTTCAGGATTTGGGGTTCAGGGTTCAGGGTTCAGGGTTGGGGTTGGTGGGTTAGGCTGTAGGGGCGCAGGTTTATGGGTTTAAAAGGTTTAGGCCTTAGGGCTTTAGGGCTGTAGGGATGCAGACGATGGGGGGTAGCATAGTTTTCTGGAGCAGGATTGCCGGATCTGGAAGTGTGTGTTCGGGGTAGGGCAACCTCTCCGCAAACAAAAACTCAGAGTGTTTTGGGGCCTTGGTACAGAAAAGGGATTTTTTAGTTTGTACTCAGCAGGGGTGCAAGGGTTCGGGGTGCCCTTCTTGGTTCAGGTTGAAGTTACCCCCCCACCCCGCCCCACCCCCGGGGTCAGCCTTGCGCTTTCGGGCCGAAGCCCTAAACCCCCAACCCCCAACCCCTAAACCTAAACCTAGCACCGGAGGTCCTGGGTGGGGGCTCTTGACGGCGAGCTGATGCAGCGACTTTCTGGACAGTGAGTTGGGGTTTAGGGTTTAGGGTTTAGGGTTTAGGGTTTAGGGTTTAGGGTTTAGGGTTTAGGGTTTAGGGTTCAGGGAGTTGGCACGTTGGAGGTTTGAAGTTCCGGGTTGGCTGGGGGCTCAATTGACTTCCTGATGTATGGTGCACATCGTCCCTGGACCCTGTTTAGGGTTTAGGGTTTAGGGTTTAGGGTTTGAAGTTCCCTAAGCTCGCAGTCTATTGAAATACGTGCAGACCACGAGGTGGGAGCCTGCTTGAGTTGGGGTTTGGGGTGGGGTTTAGGGTGCAGGGTTTAGGGTTCATGAAAGCTGCAAGAGGCTCCGGTTGGTGGGGTTGAACACTTGGGTTTAGGGTTTGTGGCCACCCTGAAACTCACATAAACCTACAGAACCTGAAACTAACATAAACCTACAGAAAGCCCAAGCCCCCGAGCCCCCTTTAAGCCCTAAACCCAAAGCCTAGCCGCCCACCTGCGGGACAGGAGCTCCTGCTGTGTCCATCGCGGCTCTCTTCAACGACTCGCCAACTGAAGGACCCCAAACCCTAAACCCCAAACGCCCTAAGTGCCCAGTGCCAAGCCTTCTCTTTTAGGAACCTCAAAAGTGCCAAGCCTGCTTCTAGGAACCTCCAACCTAAACCCTAGAAACCAGAAGTCCAAGCCCGAAGAAGCCTGAGCCTTGAACCCTCAAACGTAAACCCCATAGGCCCGTGCTTTCTCACCTTCACAGGGGTCACCCAAACCAACCCCCAAAGGGGCTTCAGGTACAGGTTGGTGCCTTATGATACCCTAAACCCTAGACCCTACATATGATAATGGCAAGGATTGTTTGGTTCCGCCAAGCGCAAAATATTCATAATCTCTATATACAGGTCCTTATTCCGGTACTGCCCAATGCTCCCGCATGTTCACTCTGATCTGGGGTTTAGGGTTTAGGGGTTAGGGTTTAGGGAGAACTTCCCTTTGCCCTCAATGCCTTACAAGGATGCCGTAAGTCTACAGTGCACAACATAGCAGGAGTTCCAGCGCCACCTTATGGCCTGGCTGCTCTGGAGGCCCTGGCGTCCTGAGGCACCCCACCTGCAGAAAGGTAGTAGGGTTTAGGGTTTAGGGCTTAGGGTTTAGGGTTTAGGGTTTAGGGTTTAGGGTTTAGGACATAGAGTTCATCTGCAGAAGGGGTTTCGGGTTTCTAGGCTCTACTATACGGCTTGGGGCTTACCAGGGTTGGGCTTGCTAAAGCCATCAGCCCTACGAGCTGGATCCTTAGCCTCAGACTGGAGCCGGGGGTACTTGAAGGTTCGTGGTACTTACTAACCACTTATAACTGGGCTTATAACCCTACTTATAATTGGGATAACCCCTATAAGGCCCTTTAGGGGGATTATAAGTAGGGTTATAAGTACAGTTACAAGTGGTTAGTAAGTACCATGAACCTTCAAGTAGGGTTTGGGATTTGGGCTTAGAGATGTTTAGGGACTAAAGGAGGGGACCCTTATTAGGGACCTTAGGGGTTATTTAGAGGAGAGTTGGGGGGTTACTTGGGTATATGGGGACTTTCTAAGGTTTATAGAAGGGTCATATAGGGGAATTAAGATTACGGGTGCCTCCTAGGGGTCCCTCAGTCAGAGTCAAGGCTTCAGGGCCTTGGGCTCGTTGCACACCCCCGCCTGTAAAAGCAACAGAAGGCTTTGATTTTTGTGGGGCCAAGAGGCAGCTGCAGGGCTTTCTCGAGACAGCTTTTGTGCTGTTACTTCTTCGCTGCGTAGCATTGGTGCGCTTCCCTAATAACTTTCCAAGTTTTGTGGCAGGGTTTCGGGTTTGGACTAAGACAAGTAAGCACCAGATCCCTAGACTTGTTTGCTTCCCGAAACCCTGAACCCAACCGCCCTAGACCCAACGTCCCCAGACCTTAAAAAAAATCAAGCTCGTATATTGCACATATCATATCTAGTTCCCTTAGCCCGATATAGAACCCTAAACCCTGAAACCCTAAACCCTAAACCCTAAGCCCTAAACCCAACCTCAAGATCCCAAAGCTCTTTCAGCAGGCACCCACCCGCTCCACTGCGACGACCCAGCAGGTGCCTCTGGTGGGCATCCTCCCCGGAGGCGCTGCATCTTAGGGTTTAGGGCTTTCAAGTCTTAACACTTTTCTGTTAGTCTCAACACTTTTCTGATGAATTTTCTCTCTCTATTTTTGGTGTGTGTGTGTGTGTCTCCGTGTAGGTTGTTGTCTGAAAGCCTGAAAGCTTGTAGGGTTGATTGCGTTTAGGGCTGCTGGCTCGCTAGGGAATCAGGGGCCCTGTAACCCTGAATCCTAGTAAGGTTAGGGCACACCTTCGAGTACCTGTCTCCTGGCATTGACGGCTTCGGTGGTTTGACAGCCTCGGTGTCGGCAAATGTCAGCCGCAAATGTCAGCCCAGGGTAGGACATCTACAGGTTTTAGACCTCTAGGGCTATAGGCTATAGGCCTTCAGGTCTACAGATACAAGCAAAAAAGCTTGAAGTTTAGACAGACTTCACCCGCCTGACAGGGAGCCAGCCGTTCGTCGACCAGAAGCAGCGGGTAGAGATCCATGGCCGCACCATTCTTTGCGAGGAAATGGACCCCTAAACGGGTTTATGGTCCACATGAAGCAGGGTCTGTACTACTGTTATTGGTGAGTGTATATAAGGTTCCTTTTTTTTATTGGTGAGTGTATATATTTGGTGTCCTTTTGGGGGTACAAGAAATATAGACCCTAATTACTTCATATACGCCCCAACAGGTTTCGTAGTAGTATGGGGTAGTGCATGATCCCAAGTTCCGGCTTCGGTCCCTAAGACCCAGAAGCTACACCTGTGCAGTACATTAGGAGGCGTAGCGACCTGCTTAGCAGGGTGTTTGGAGGGGGTCGACCTTGAAAAGAAACGCAGGCCCTCACCTACCCGAAACAGCACCTGGTAGGTAAACCCTAAACAGCCTAGCCTACAAGCCCCAAACCCCAAACCCCAAACTCCTGTGCCCCAAACCTCAGATCCCAAACTCCAAGCCTCAAACCCGACGCCCCTAAACACAAAAACCCGGAACCCTACTAAAATCCTGAACGCTGCCAAATGTTTGGGTTGCGGCCTGGAGCTTAGGTTCAGCTAGGAAATCTTACTGACCATGTACCACTAGGTCTGTGGGCCCGTGTTCCAGTTCTTGGGGATCCCCGATTGCTCCTACAACTATCCAAAACTGAAAAGTGAGCCCTTTGGCTTACTAGGTTACCGGGAATCCAAGACTGGGTAGTCAAAGTATGGCAACTTCGTGGAAGATCCTCAACTACAACCCAGTTGTAGAGCCTCTAAAGTGGGTTGCCTTGGAATGGCCTTGACAATGATCCGAAGCCCCTCTCCAACCCTACCCCCACGCCCTAAAGCGTTAAGGCGGAGCCCTAGCAGCTCGCGGATATCCCGACCTCCCCGACCTCGGCAGTCATCACCAGCGCGGCCCGGTTCATATTCGGGTTACCTAGTAGTAGAGTATAACCTTTTTGGGGTAGAAAATCCCCTTAGAATGCCAAAGGTTAACCTTTAATTCCCCCAGGTTACTGGACAACTAGGGTTAGGTACCTGAAGCCTAATCCCTCATCCCCACGCCAAGTCTCTGAGCCCACAGAGTACATTATTGAGCACATCTCTTCTCCACAGCGCACTTAGATAGAGGTGTGTGTGAACAGCCCTGCACCATAAATGTCACCGCGTAGAGTGTTGGGTACCACTTTTATAATTTCCCCCCGCCCGCTCCTGACACTGCCCCTTCCTCCCCTGCTCCCCTCCCCCACCCCTTCCCTCCCCCTTTCGTCACCCCCACCCCCCCCCACCCACCCAAAAAGAGAACAATTCGTGAGTAGACCTGTCTACCAGGTCCTATTTAGGGGGTTAGCGGTCGAGGGAGATGATTCTGCTAGGTCGCCCCAGTAGTACCGGTTTTCCCTTTCTTAGGGGTGGGATGCCCTTGCTGTTGATTCTCAGCTTGCTGGAAATCTAAACCGTTCATGTTTAAGGGTTTAGGGTTTTTGGTTTTAGGGTTTAGGTTTTTACCCGTTTTGGGGCTTTCGGGTTTTAGGGTTTTAGGGCTGTAGGTTTTTTGGTTCGTAGGGTTTTTTGTAAGGTTTTAGGGTTTGGGATACCCAGAAAAGGGTGGAGCGCCGAGTTTGATTTCCAATGAGCCATAGTCGCCAAAGGTCAAGGTCATATTTAGGGTTTAGGGGGAAGGGTCTTGGGTTCTGGGTTTTGGGCTTAGAGTGAGTGAGGCTTCAGGGTCTACAGGGCTTAAGGAGCTTGGAGTTTTTGGGAGCCTCGGGGCTTAGGCTTGAGTAAGCATTCTTTTCATGTGGTGTGTCATGTGGGGTTTAGGGTCTACGGTTTAGGACAGACAGTAGAGTTGATGGCCTGAATCAGAGGGGCTTTAGGTCTTTGGGGCTTTGGGGTTTGGGGCGAGATCACCAGGAAGTGCGCATCTTGGAGCTCTGGCACAAGCGCGGTGCCCTTCCAGCATCTTCGGCATGATAGGCCACCAGCGGCGATTTTGCAGTTTAGGCTTTAGGGTTGGGTTCCCCCTTATGTTAGCAGTCCTGAATAGGTTTTATAACCGGGGGGGGGGGGGGGGCGGGTTACTGTAATGACATCCGAACTTTAGGATGTTTAGGATTTAGGCTGCCTAGTTTGTCTGAATAGTATGGGAAGTGAGACCCAATAAATCCCTAAATGCTTGACATCCTCGGGGGCACGAAGCCGGACGACAAGCACTGAGGCTCGCCTTCCTAAACCCTAAGCCCTAAACCCTAAACCCTAAACCCTAAACCCTAAACCCCAAACCCCAAACCCTAAACCCTCACAAGGAGCGGCCCATAAGCCCCCAAGCCTAGCGCAGATTTTGCTACCATACTTTGGGATATTTCCCCTTCGACTAGCAGTCCTTGAAAGTACCCCCGAGTATCATCCCTATTAAGGACTGTTAGTATAACGGGGAACATGCCACATGATACTAACCTACGATGTTAGTATAAAGAGGAACATCCCACATGATATAAAGTATAACGCGCTTCTTTCACCCTCCCCTCAAACCCTAAACCGAGCCCAGGCCCAGCTCTCGCCGGACGCCGGGAGGTATGCTGCTGACGCATAAAAGGTTCTGACGCGTAGCATGTTCTGACGCGTAAAAAAGTTGTGCCTGCTGCCGACATACATACGGCCAGAAGATCTCAGTAAACCTATCTCAGCCCCCGCATGAGAGCTGTCCGCGGCCGCCCTGTGGCTCAGAGGATACCGCGAAGGACGCAGCTCGCTCATACCATCTGGCCGTTGAAGACGTCAAAGACAGTTGAGCAGCTCCCGCGAAGGAGTGGCACCACCAGCAGAAAGAGCAGCGAAGGAGCAAAGACCAGCGAAGGAGTGGTATCGCAAGCAAAGAAACCACCCATGCCAGAAGGTTGCTCGAGTCAGAAGGAGTCCAAGAGACACTTGGCCTGTTGAGACGGGCCGAACCAGAAAGATCACAGACAATTACCTTTACGCACAGATCAGCGCAAACCCACGTGTTACCTGGCACGCGCTGCCCACAGCGGCGAAAGACTGTGAAAAGGTCTTTTCCGCGTGTGCTTAGTAGCATGCCTCTCGGCAGGCAGCCTCCAGATTGATCAGAGAGTCCTTTACCTGTAAGATCAGTGCAACGAGTTTTGCTCGACGGTAGTCGTGCCTCAGACGGTTCGTTGGAACACCCGATGACCTTGAGATGTACAGAGTTCTGCTTGCATGTCAGATGTCATTTTGTTTGTCCGCCAAAGTCCGAATTAGATTGGCTGCATGTTGGTCTAACTTTTGTTTTGATTCCAAGCCTGGCTCGTGGCTGAATTAACTTTCTAACTGCCATAGCAGTTCAACACATTGCACGTGTTGCGTCGGTTTGGACAGCAATTGCAATCTCGAGTTGTTTGTGTCACAACAGGCTCAATCACCGAAGCAGGCCACGTTTGTTTGTAAGCTACTAGCTGCTGAAATTGTTGAAAACCAAACAGCCGCATGCTGCTGCCAAAGTCTGCT